TGACCTCAAATGAGTGGCATCTCGCGTCCCGGCCAAAAGTCAAGTCTATTGTTGGAAGCTGCGCGAAGCCATCGCAGCCACGGCTGATTCACTGTTAAATCTAATTAGATGCATTATCGAAATGTATTTAAAAGTAAAAAAGAAAGATGGCGCCACTTCACCTACTACATCCCGTAGCCTTGACTCTTGAACTTATCTCAACGCTCTCTTCCGCTTCCCTCCCTCCTTTCGTTCTCCAGTTCGGCTCCTTCGAGCGCGGAGGAAAAAGCCCGTCTAACCCAAGATTAATCTGCTACTTATTCCGGCTCACCCTATGCACCCTATTCGCGTAATCTGTATAGCTATGTATATATGTATATTAACGGTGTACAAGCGAAATACTGTATATCGGTAGGTGCGAATATTCTTTATTACACTCTCTCCTCCTTCCTACTGCTCCTTACTCCTATTTCACCGACTCAACCCCACTCCTATATATATATACACGCTTACACGTTTTTTCAAACTGAAAGCGATTATTTCGCGCGAACAGCTACGACCGTATCCTCGCACCCCGTGCTTGGCGCGGGGAGAAATGGAGAGAAGAAAAATTACGTAATAATCAGTTTGCTCGCTGAACTCGTGTCTGGATCGTTCCGTATCGGCCTGTATGCCGGCCCGATTTTCTCCTGTGTATAGCCGCTGCTTTATACACCTAGAACTCCGGCAGGTATATTCTAATCTGTGTCTGTTTATCCGACTGTTACTCTCGTACGGGTATCAAGTGAGTAGCCGTGTTTCGTAGCTGGAAATGAGAAAAGTAGACAATGGAGAGTGCAGTCTTGTCAGCGGAGGACACAGAGCGTGAATACGTTGTATCCGCCATGTTGAATCGATTTGGATATCCGTAAAGCGTACGAGTACGCGTTACTACGTACTTGCACAACCATAGAATGTAGCAGGACATACGTGTAGCATGAGCCATTGTGCGTTCGCTGGTAATTGGAATGTTTTTCAGTTTCATCGAGGATCGGAAAAAAAAAAAAAAACGAAGAAAATACAAAGCGTGCGTAAAAAATAGAACAGTATTGAAACGCAGTTACTCGTATGCCAAAAGGGGAGGAAAAAAAAATTAAATCGTACCCGGATATAAAAAACAAAAAATGTCGAGCCTGTTTTCACCACGCTTACAGTCCCTAATATTTTCTACTAGTATTAAACTCGGCAATCCCCTCTCCCTTGGCTGAAATTCACTCGCCAACCCTCTACAGTGTGCAGCGAGCTTTACAATTGCAGTGTGCATGCTCGTTCAAACTGAAAATACATCCATTAGGTGATTAAAGACGCGAAGTCATCCAACGTACCGCGACTATGTGTGGTGCAGGTATACGTATACGCGCGCACCACCCCCGATCCACCCCTTTGCTGTGTTTCGTGGAACTCGTGTCTCTTGTAGGAGAAAAAATAAAAGCGTTTGCAAGAAAAATTCTCCCCGAGTTCTCTTACTTTGTGCTTTGTGTCTGCGGCCATTGCGACATGCTACTTCGAGATTGAGAGGAGATTGAGAGTTTGATGGAATTTTTCATATACCTAAATACGTTCTCTGTGACGGTTTCAATTCGTTGGGGAATTGAAAAAAGTTTTTAGGATTTTTAGAAAAATTTTGGAAATTTTATTAATTTTTCTTTCCCCTCCAACCTTTTTTTTTACGAAAATTATAATCGAGCATTCGGATGGACGATGCCGTGAAAAAGATTAGACGGGGCACGTCGCGACGATCGTTTCTCACGACGTCGGGACGCCGTAAATATACGGAACAGTAGCTTGCAAGTCGTCAGTGAAATTAATTAATCCGTGTCTAACGAGGGTAAGTTCGGGCGAATTTTGTTTTTTTTATTCTTGGGAGTTTGCGTTTATTGGAACAACCTGCGCGGTTGAGATGAAAAGAGGTATTAATCGACCGATCAGAATATTGAACGATCGACCTATCTAGGGAATTTTATGTCCCTTTGTTACCCTCTCCGTCGTAAGCCATACGTTTCTTATATTGCGCTAACAGGTGTGACCGTGAATCTGGGGATTTTTTACTTTTGTCTCATAGTAACTTTCTATATGATGGACTATCGCAATATAATTAAATAACCCAGCTGTACGAATTGAGCTTTGTCAAATATTAACGCGAGTACCACCGATACTTTTTTTTTTTACCACCGAATCACGCGGACGTTACAATTACGTGGTTGTTAAAAAAATTTACAACACCGAAAAACACGGCTAACTTTTGTAACTTTTTTACAAAAGCTCAACTATTATAAACGATGCAATTTTCAGCTGTCCGGTGCTCAAAGGCGTACTTGCAATTAGATAAACGTAAGACGGGGAAGGACGTCAGGCGTATGTAAAGGGGGGTGAAGCGGAAGATTCGAAATAGGGATGACTACCACTTTCCAGCAAGGTGTATAAGCAACTGTCGTCCCAGCTTCTGATAATCGCTTTAGCACGTATATTTCGACTATAAATTGCCGTCGCAGTCGCCACCCTTATTAACGCGCCTGTGTGTACCTAGTCGCCTTATTCCCGCCAGGCTGAGCACAAGCGTCTCTTCTGGGCCGGATGGAGGTTGGTAAGGTGAAGATAGATGCGCCGTAGTACGAGGATAGGAAATTTAATGTCTCAAATAAAGTTGGCATACGCGGGGGGTTGATTTTGAAAAAAATTTCTTACGCTGCTATCCAGGGGTGGTTCGGTTGCCTTTTTTCGATTGGACTGAAACGATATGACTGAAAGTTACTTCCGTATTATGCATTTATATTTTTATGTCTACTTTGCATATTTTATTTTTCCTTTTACGTGTGGAAAGTACCGTAGCTGGTCTTCGCCGATCTTGATGAAACCTGGCAGGCAAGTAGAGCATCTCGAGATATGAAAATATAACACGTGAAACGTAACGTAAGAATAATTTTACTGACTGAACGGAGTTACCTTGTAAGGACGAAGACCGAACGTAACGAGCGAAATATTAATCACGTTAATTGGATTAATTTACATCATGGTAAAATCATTTTACAAAGAAATAGAAAAAATTTGGATTTATCGTCGAGTATGACACAAATGGAGGACGGTGTAGCGTAAAAATGAAAAGTTCGTTGTTTAACACTTACTTTTGAACTTAAGATAGCCGTATGATCTGTCAAATTATTTATGTACTAATATGTTAAGTTATGTCAATATATTTTATAGAAGCTTCAATGCTAACAAATTTACACTGTTTCACTTGTTATTGAAATTATTGCTTTGTTTACATTATCTCATTTGAATTCCGCAATCTGAACAGATAATTGAGAGTCGATATTGGCTTTGTTTTGCGTTTTACAAATGTGATTCATCTATTAGTCATAATTTCACGATAATTCCGTTACCAACCAAGAAAAGCAATATAAGGAAAATCGTCATGTAAGGTTCGATGTAAAATGTGGTTCTACGCGTCTGTCATAGAAATATGGTCGAATTTCGGGAGCAACAGTGGAGGGTGTAATTTTCGACTAAAAAAACGTTTAATTAAAATTATTTTGACGTGTTATCAAAATCATGCAACTTTTGTCTGAAACATTTTTTTGTACTTCTCAACGGTAATCGGCCCTATATAAAATTCATATTGCACCTGTAAACGGGTATTTGACCCGGTAGAAGATAATATGGGCAGCTAATATTGCACGGGTGTTCATGTCTTGAGACGCTTTACTTGACTACCAAGTTTCATAAAAATTAGCAAAGGCAACCTTGAGTACTTCCCTTGTTAGATGGTGGTACGGCTACTTTCCTACTCACGATGGCTTAGCATCCAGCTCAAAACCTTTTAATGCCTCTTTCCCCGGATAGAAGGTTAACAAGATGAAGTGCCGGAAAATCCTGGATGAAAGTTTTTAGGCTTCATTTGCCCGTGGAAGCTTTTTTACATTCGCTGTACCAGATACTCTCAAGCGCGCTTCGTTCTGTACGCCAGGCTAATCCAGCAATGAGTCAATGTTCTATAGGTACTGCGTAAGACTGATGGTACTTTAAGGTAATCTCTATGTACTGTGTTACACTTAGGTTAGTAGCTGCTGACGTAGGTAGCTTACCGTTGCTAATCTAGATAAGTGAGCTTATCGTAAATTTATTCGGAAGTTTCGGTCAAGACCTGCGAAAGCCCGTAGAGAGATTTTCTTTTAGAAATAACGTTTTTCTGAACTTGATAAATCAGACACGGATTTAGTCACTTTTCGTTGTATTTGTTCGTATTCGAGTTTCATGTAGATTTTACAATAGAAAAAAAAATATTTTTAGCCAACGCCAACCGAACCTAACCTTTATTCACTGATTGATATAACACTAGACTTCACTATGAAGGTAGCCCTGTGAATTATTTATGATTATCCTCAAAGATAAATGCCTACTGTTCATGAGGAATTTATAAAGAACGAGGAAACTCGGAGAACTTGGCTAAGAAAGGCGGAAGATACAAATCTACAAATCGATGAGATAACAGAAAGTAGAATAAAGCATCGTTACGACTCATTCAAGGCTTTTCTTCCATAGAGAAGTTCCTTCTTTATCGTTATAGAAAATATTCCACTAACCAGAAGTTGAGCTCGTGCTTACTTGTAAACCCCCAAGAAGAACGATACGCGTATAGCCCTGAGTTGCAGTAAAGTAATTCGACGCTAGAAATATGTCAGCCACGACTACGATCATCCATAAGGATAATCTTAACAGCGACGTGTCCAATACTCGTGGTCCAATTAGAGATTATTAATTACCAAGTGCATGAGTGGCGCCAATTAATACGTTCACCCTATGCGTCTAAACAGTCTAGATTCAACGATTAATTTCACCTCCGACACGAGGACATAACTTGTTAGGACACGTGACGCACCGTAGAAATAACAAGTGAAATCGCCATTAGTAAATTTCGATTGCTTGTGAGTAATGAAGAAAGTGAGTTTAATTAAATTTCTGTAATTAATATAAAAGTTACTTACGCAATCGTAATTTCTTGAGCCAGAGAAACGTTCGGTCGACATCAGGCGTCTCACGAACCGTCGGGAGCGATTGTGGCACTATTTATAAATGTCACGATTTTTTATAATTCTCAGAACAGTCACTGCACTAAGAAGCCACGAAATCTCTTTATGTGATGTTCAAGTGTCGCATCGAGCTGTTTTTCAATAAAATTGTCGACCGGTGATTGTTATAAATAGTTAACGCGTATCACTGACTATTTTAACACACATCCAATGTAATACAAGCATACTAGTGGCTGGTCAAACATATTTGTTATAAGACATTCTAAGTCCGAGCTCACAACGTTCAGATAATTTACACTCGAGTTTTCACGCTCCAGTGAAATATTCCCCGAATGACTTAACCGTATTCGAAATTTTCCGTTGACCGTACGACCGATTGGTAGTTCGCTCCTGACAACGGCCGGTGTTATTTTATTTAAATAAATATCAGTCCTCACTAAAAGCCCACTAACACCAATCTCAATACCGCGAACTTCAAGTCTCTACTCAGGACCAACTGGCCTGTCAAATTTTAAGCATACAATAGGTTTTAAATAAAGACGCGAGCAATAAATAACGACGATTTTCTTCCCTCTGGCGTCACTCATCAGTACTATACTAGCGCCTCCTATACCCGTACTATACTAGTACCTGCATTCTAAAGCAGCTTGGAATAGTCAGCACTGACAAAATCGACAGGAACCCTGCAAGTTTGATATATCTAATAGATATCTCTACGAATCATATATACACGGTGTCTCGAATGTTCACAATATTAGCTACTTAGACTCTTCGATAGTATGGATAAAATTTTTTGTTTAAAAAGCGTCTGCGCAGGACTCGACCTACATCCGTTCGCAGCGACGGTCGCCGGCACACTGTGGTCTCGTTCACAATTCTCCTACCCGATACGATCCTTCTTCGTGTGTGCCTTCCTCTTATTTCCATTGAGATCGCGCCTCGAGTTGACCTATCGATTACTATAATAGCTTCTGTCCTTGACCTCCGTCCAAGTATGATATATTAATTATTTCCACTACAAGATTTCAAAACTTCCTGGTTAGAAAAATTCGAGCTTTCTGCCGGCAATGGAATTACATGAATTTTCAAACTTTTTCGTTTCCGTTATAACTTGGCGGGAGGGTTTTTATCTTTGTGGAGCTTCTTCTGAGAGATCATTTTAACGACCCGAATCGATCCTGCATGTATTTTTTTAACTTTGAAAAGTAATAATCTGTGTTCTACATTTTTTTAAATTGTGTGTGCCTACGTTGCTCATGTACCTTTCGTGGTAAAGGTGAGAAAGCTCATTTCTCACGAAAGTTTAATTAGACTTTCGTGACTGGAAGTGAACTCGCGTTCAGGTTTCTTTGGGAAGGTTCGTTATAAAACGTTCCTATTTACTGACAGCACGTGGGCCGTTTAATACGAGAACAGGACACGAGATCACAGAATGATTTCAGTTGGACTTTATAGAGACTGTACACGCTGTACTATTAGTATGAAAAATATGAGCATTAAAAATATTTTTTTTTAAATTAACGCTATTCGACGCGACATAAATTATCTTAAAAATTTCACAAACTTTTTTAATGTGTCTAAGAGGCTCATGACAGATACACTTTAAGTAAGACACCCGATAGATATTGGACGTGTTCGGCAAATCGATTTTTTATTCAGCTCAGTGCATCGGACGATACGGTTTTTGAAGTTCCGTTTTATTTTCTCTTTTTTTTTTTTTCTTTTATTATCCGATTCCACGCCAACCCAACGGGACGAAATTTTCACTGCTAGACTGAACCGTTCGCGAAATATCCCCGGCCCATTTCCATCCATTTGCCATTGATTTTAATTACGTGAACTCGACGTGATTTCAGGGTGCTGGTAATACCCTGAAATTTGCTCTAGAAAAATACATGCCAAATCAAACCCACGCTGTTTCTTGATTCCCACATCTTTTTTTTTAATGAAAAATATATTTATTTCCATAACCAATTAAAATATCCAATGAACTTATACAAATACCTTAAACATTTAATTTATTGCACACAAATATGAATCATGTATCCCATACATGCAGCTATCTCTGTTCCACAATCTTTTTTTTTCACTTTTGGGAGGCGTATGCCACTCGCTGGCTTTTGGTCTAAAAATAATTTCTCACGAGACAGTTCGTCCCGGGCGATCACCGATTAAATGTCAGGTTAAGTGATTAAACAATAAATTTCGAAGAAATATTTTCAATGAACAATACACTCGTATAATAATAATAATAATAATAATAAAAAATAATATTTATCGTACATAAAATTCACAGCTCTTACGTCACTTATGTTTATCACCCCAACACGTGTATACACTATCACTCATTAATATTCTATACAATATTTTGTTACACTTTTCAGATATATACACGGTGTTAACGAAATGCACACTCGCGAAATTGCATTGACTTAAGTATCATTTCTGACAGCAAGACCAATAAACAATACGATGGAGCGAGAGGCCACGTTATTAAACAAAGATCAAAATTTCTGAACGACCAAATTTGATTACGCTACTAAACGAAAGGTCAAAGTTCGTATACTTAGCGAAATTGAATAATACCCTCGTTAATTTCGTTAAACATGCAATACGAGGTCTCGTTCCGTAGTCAATAATATAAACTTTAAGTAACTACGATAATTACGTTTAGCCCTTATAATTAGCATTCGGATATCTAACGAGCAAGAATGATCGTCATTCACATCACGTTATTAATATAGAATAATCAGCTACATGCCGGAACTTAATACTTGTCATTGGCAAAGCAAGACAGTATATACAGACATATAGACGTTCAAAGCTCGGAATTTATGGTTAACAACTATATTGTTCAGAACAATGGAACTCGAATGGAACAATGTACGCCTCGAACGTATACGCTTCTAGAAGATTTGACATCTAACGAGATGCTGCGCCATGTATCCAGCATCAGCGAAATAGTTATTGTTCTCTGCAAGTCGAACATCTTCGTGCTTGGAATTCGAGTTTAATATTCAATAAAGCTTATAAAAAAGCTAAGACCTTATAACGAGTCTCGCGTAATTCCGGGGCTCTTCGCTTATGACGTCATCGTTTGATTATTTCGAGGAACCTTAAAAAAGAATTCAAGATTATATTACTTAAGGTAAAATTTGAATACGCGTTTCTGTGATAAAGGGTGACTCTAGCTGTTAATTATATCTATATATAGGTATCTGACCACGGGTACGGTTATCGGAGGCTTTTCTTCAGGGTTTTCATTTACTACTGGATTTTTATCCTACGCGTAATATGAAGACAAAACGATTATGGTTTCACACAAAAATTATCTGTTTACAAGGTAATTCGTTTTTTGATAATACATACAACGATCCTTATAACCTATAAAATATATTTTTGTCATTTTCTTCTATGGACCTTCATCTTTTTCATTTATTTCAAATTTTTACTCATATTTAAGCAGACTTTTCATTTCTCTGATTTACCCGTATCCGGTAAATCTTAGTGGGTAATATTTCAGATTGAAATCGTATGATTTTTCTATATCGTGCTATAGTCCCTTTACCTGACATAAATTCCTATAAGAAAACTTTACGTATCGATCGCGTTACAAAGTTTTCGTCGTTCAGACTAATTCAAAGCCCCGTACGTATAATTTCCATATAGAGTTAATACTTGAACATGTGTATGGTGCTTAAGGCACGTGCACGTACAATGTACAAGTTTGTTCACTGAGTAGCCGAAGGTATTGTATATCGTATACTTACCCAAGTGGTGCATCTAGCCCAACCGAGAAGTACGGTAATAGATTTCGTAATACTATAGCCTTGGCCATAGTATATACCTAGATTGATACTCCATAATTAATTAAACAGTATTAATTAGTACAATGTAATTACATAACCCCATTGTACCAAAGACCATTTACTCGTATAATAAACGAATGTAGATCACTGACTGGTGCAAGAAATTTATAAATATAATGAAAAAAAATTCAATGCATATTCCCCGCTGATGCATCCCCTGCACCTGCAGTTGATGGAACGCGAGGGACGTCATAATTCACGCTAAGCAAAATGCACCCCTATAAGTTTCGCGATACCCCCCCCCCC